CCCCCCGACTCAGGAAGCACCAGTTGCTGAGCTGGAGGGCTAGCGGGGGTCCCCTGTGCACTCCGCAGCAGACCCAGAAGTGGACCAGAAGTAGTTCAGGTCCACTGCCAAGCGCACGGGGAACCCCTCCGCACTCCCAGGGGACACCTCACCTGTCCCACCATCTCAGTGTTCACGAGCTGCGCCTGGTACCTCAAGGTATGTAGAAAGAACATATAAAGCTGTGTCTACAGCCAAATTGTTGAATCTCTCCGAATACATTTGGAGGTTTCCAATTCAATTTGGAGAGATTAAAGGGTCTCCTGATTTTGATTTGGATTTGGAGATTTGGCTGCTGAATTGGGCTGAATTTCTTCCAGATTGAATCAGCAACTGAAGCTTCACACGGCCCTCGTATATTATACTCAAGAGTGTAGCATATGTGAGAATCAAACAGACATTGGTTTGTCTCATTGCTGATGGTGTGGAGCCTCCCTGCTGCTTGGTACTTATGACAGTTCCAGTAGTATTGAAAGCAGATGCTAGCTACTTTATCAGTGGGCTTGAGAGACCAATCAGTGTATGGCAGGTCATGGCATAAGGAGCTGGTCCCAGGTTTTTTTCTCTCATGGGAACTTAGATCATTTCGGATGTAGAGGATTTACAACTTGCTCAATTTGCAGCAGACTGCTGGATTAAAGAAGAGCTACTCAACTGGTTGCTGCAGCTTTAAATTCAAACTTTAACTTCTCTGGATAGTCCCACAGAACTGGTTGCAGAAGTAGTATCCTTTGAAATAAAAGTGGTTGCAGTAAGTGGCTGCAGCATCTTAACAGTGCTGTGCAGCTGTTGATGGATCTATTTATGCCTCCAACTGGTTGCAGGCCTTTTATATGTGTATGGGGCTAAGGACCAAAACCCTGAGAAGAATTTGGGTTCTACTGTACTTACCCAGTCTCTGCAGAGGACCATGGTAGTGCTCCCTGTCCCCTTTCAACCTTCAGAATTCTTTGTGAAACACTTGAGTTGCTATGCTTGAATCTCTCATGTGGAAGCACCTTCCAGTGTATCAATGCTTGCATCTGTGGGAGTAAGCTTCAGCTCCTAAAGGATTAATTTTCTGTATTTCAAGTTTCCTGAGGATCAGCTGGTCCACAGGCTCAACCCGCCCCCCAAACAAAAACCAACCAAACAAAAAATCAACCCCCCCCCCCACACACACACACCACCATTGCCAGGCACATTGTTTTGTTGGCTGTTAACTTACTGTCCATTTCAACTTTGTTTTTGTGACCTTCATTAAACTGTTTATTCTCTAGTAGTGAGAATCCTAGTGAAAGGTATTCTGAAAGGGAAAGTTACTGACCTGGAATTCTGCTTCTTGGAAGAGGTCATTGTCAGGATTCTCACTTGCCTGCCTACTTCTGGAAGTCTAGAAGTTGAGGTTTTTGCTGAAACAGTATGTTGATTATGTGCTGACTTTTCATCTCTTTTAATAATTTTATTGGCTAGCTTTTTTTGAAGCCTTGAGTAGTGCACAATTAGGAATTGATTAGAAGTTTCCAAGTGTAGCTGTTAAACAGTGTGGATAATGCATGATCATCCAGTAGGCTGTACTGGTTTGTGTTCCACCCTGCTACTCCTGTCCTTGGAAAGGAAATCTGATCAGGTTTTGAGGAATTCCTACCTGTCTAGCACTAGAGAAATAAGTGTCAGGATTAAGAATCTGGTCCAAGCTGATATTTTCAGAGAAATAAATCTAAAGGCCAGTAACTTTCTCTTAATCATTCTCTAAGTATTTTTTAATATATAAACTTATACACTGACTCCTAAGTTACAGCTCTACCTCAATGTCCTCTTCCAGGGTTGAACAAATGGAAATTTAGCAATTTTTGCAACTGTTTGTTCAGCTGCAGTAATGTTTTTTTTTATTGAATGCATAGGCCTGATCTGAGACCTAATTCCTTGATTCCTTTTCCAATATATTATCTTAAAAACTAATTGGCATGGTGCATGGGCATCAAACATCTTGACAGATAAAAGGGGATGTGACAATCAGTCAGTGGTGTTTGGCAGTGGTGTAGGAGAAGAGCCCAATGCGTGAGCAGCAAGCCTTCCCACAATGACTACAAGCCCAATCATCAGATGGAGGTTGCAGTGCACTCTGCTTCCTTGCTTACCTGCATGTCTTAGTGTGAACTGTCTCTCTGGCTTTCTGCAGTGATTGCACCAGCTTTGACCTGGCTTCTCTATACTGAGCTGTTGTGGGAAGGTTCTCCCAGTTATCTGTGGGAATGCTGAATTTCTTGAGACCTTGCTTGACCTTGTTGCTCTATCAGAGCTTTGGCCACCTTCTGCATTGCAGGCGGTTCTCGAGAAGGCTGTAGAGCGCAGTCTCGAGGCATGTCCCGGTCAGTGAAGCCTGGGAGCATCCAGCGTAGTCTGCAAAGATTGTAGGCCAGTCCTGTCAAGCATCTCATTGGTAATCTGTTGGTCCTAAGTGACACCAAGGATTTTTCTGAGATAGCGAAGGTGGAAGCTGTTCAATCATTGCTCCTGCTTGGAGTATGTGAGTCAGCTTTCACAGCCAGGAAGGAGGGTACTGAGAATACAAGCCTGATAGACGGATTCTCACTTGCCTGCCTACTTCTGGAAGTCTAGAAGTTGTGGGGTTTTTGCTGAAACAGTTGTTGTACCAGACTTGTGAGGTAAGTTTGCCAAAAGTAACAGAGGCGTTGCCAGTTCTCACATCAAGTTCTCTATCAAGGCTAAGTGCGCTGGTAGGAGTTGAGCCAAGATAAAGTGGTCTATGCTCTCCAGAGCTTCATTATTAACACAGATTTTGCATGGGATGTTGGTGCCCTGAGACATAACTGTTTTCTTGATACGGATTGCTATGCCAAACTTGATGCATGCATCAGAGAATTTGTTCATCATGATCTGCAGTTCATCAAGTGAGTTAGAGACTAATGCAACATCATCTGCAAAGAGCAGATCCCAAGCAGTGATATGCCATTTGCTCTGAAATTATCTGATGTTAAACAAGATGCTGTCCATCCTTGATTTAGTTAGTACACCAGATTGATTGTTTCTGAAAGCATAGTTAAGAAGGATAGAGAAGAAAATGCCAAAACTGGTAGGTGATAAAACACAGCTTTGCTTCATACCAATCTCAATGCTAAACTCAGATGTTTCATTTTCAGACTGGATCGTTGTCTTCGTTCCTTCATGGAGCTCCTTGAATAGGGAGAGCACCTTTTGCGGCCAGCCAGTTTTTAACAGGATCTTGTAGATGCCATTCCTGCTACCTGTGTTGAAGGTCTTTTGTAGGCAGATAAATGCTACATAGAGAGGTGCCTGTTCACAGATTTTTTTTTTTCTTGCAACAAATGCATTTGAAGGACATGTGAGCGATGGAGCATCCAGCGCTGAACCCACCCTGGCTCTCAGGGTGGACTCTGTCAGAAAGAACTTGGAGTCTTTTAAGCAGTACCCTTGTAAGCACCTTGTTTACCATGCTGAGCAGAG